CTCTTTCCTGCTCAGGCCAGCCCTCAGGAGTCCCAGACTTTGGAGGCAACAGAGAAAGTCTGGAGGAAGGAGGACTTTTCCTTGTTTGAGAAGGCTCAAGTCAGAGATCAGTTACGGAAACTAGATCTCCGCAAGTACATGGGTCCTGATGGGATGCACCTGCAAGTGCTGAGGGAGCTGGCAGATGTCACTGCTGGGCCCCTCTCCATCATCTTTGAAAGGTCCTGAAGAACAGGTGAGGTGCCTGAGGACTGGAACAAAACCAACATGACTCCAGTCTTCAAAATGGCAAGAAGGAAGACACAGGAAACTGCAAATCAGCCTTACCTCCATCCCTGGAAACAGGGCAACAGTTTGTTCTGCGCATCATCTCAATGCACGTGGAGGAAAAGAAGGTTATCAGAAGTAGTTGACATGGATTCACCACCGAGAAGTCATGTCTGACCAATGTCTCAGCCTTCTACAATGGCATGACTGGATGGAGAGATGAGAGGAAGGCAGTGGATGTTGTCTACTTTGACTCCAGCAAGGCTGTCGACACTGTCTCCCACAGCACCCTCACAGGCAATCTTAGGAAGCATGGGTTAGATGAATGGACTGTGGGGTGGATTGAAAATTAGCTGAAAGACAAAGCTCACAGGGTTGTGATTAGTGAGTCTAGCTGGAGGTCTGTAACAAAGGGTCAGTCCTGTTCAGTATATTCATCAATGACCTTGCTGAAGGGATAGAGTGCACCCTCCGCAAATTTGCTGATGACACAAAACAAGGAGGGCTGGCTGACACACCAGAAGGCTGTGCTGCCATTCAGTCTGACCTGGACAGCCTGGAGAGTTGGGCAGAGACAAACCTTATGAAATTCAACAAAGGCAAGCATAGGGTACTGCACCTGGGGAGGAATAGCCCAACATATGAGTATAGGTTGGGGACTGAGCTGCTGGAGAGCAGCTCTGTGGAAAAAGACCTGGGAGTCCTGGTGGAACACAGGATGGCCCTGACACAGCAATGTGCCCTCATGGCCAAGAAGGGCAATGGTATCCTGAGGTGCATTGAGAAGAGTGTGGCCAACAGGTTGAGGGAGGTTATCCTCCCTCTCTTCTCTGTCCTGGTGAGGCCGTATCTGGAGTACGGTGTCCAGTTCTTGGCACACCTGGAGTCCTGTGTCCAGTTCTAGGCTCCCTGGTTCAAGAAGGACAAGGAACTGCTGGAGAGGGTACAGCAAAGGACTGTGAAGATGATTAGGGGACTAGAATATCTCTCTTAGAAGGAAAGGCTGAGGGACTCGTGTCTTTTTAGTCTGGAGAAGACTGAGAGGGTATCTTATAAATGATTATAGATACTTAAAGGGTGGGTGTCAGGAGGATGGGGCCAGCCTTTTTTCAGTGGTGCCCAGTCACAGGACAAGAGGTAACAGTCACAAAATTGAACATAGGAAGTTCTTTACTTTGAGGGTGGCAGAGCACCGAAACAGGCTGCTCAGAGAGGTGGTGAAGTCTCTGTCTCCAGACATCCAAAATCTGCCTGGATGCCACTCTGTGCAATCTGCTCTAGGCAAACCTGTTCTGGCAGGAGAGTTGGACTAGATGATCTCCAGAGGTCCCCTCTTCCAACACCTACCATTCTATGATTTTGTGAATCAGCACAGCCACTCAGCACAAGGTAGATTTTATTACGTTACAGAATACTTTTTCTCCATCCACTTTTGACTGGCTTCAGAGGACATGGGTTTGTCCTTACTAACAATTAGTTGTTGCTAGTGGGTCAGAGATCTAAGTCTAAGTTTTTTTTTTATACTGTAAAAGACCAGAGAGGTTAAATTTCAAGTACTGGGAAAAGGTATGAAAAGAACTTTCAGTCATTTATACAATTCTTGTCTTAAAGAAACAAAAATCAGCAATTTTGTAAACTCAAGCGGTTCAAATATTTAAAATCATTGACTGTAACTTGTAAAATTACTGATAACAGGAAATAAATAATTTTACCTGTTTTCTTAAAGAGTCATTCATTTCCTTCAAGCTGTCAAATGATGACTTCAGCCTCCTATTTTCTTTAGTTATTTCTCTCAAGGCTTCTGTCAGCTGTTTAACTTCTGCCTCATGTTGCTATAGAAATACCAAATTCAAAACCACAATTTATAGGAGACTGCTTTAGAAATCATTCTAAATCGAGTTCCATTTTAGTGTTAAAGTAATAGGACGAACATTCAAAGATCAAATTTGTAATTCTGCATGGCCAAATTTGCACATTCAGTCAGTGGTGAGAAAAACAACATCCACCTTGCACATTAAGATGAACCTATAAAGAAATTGAGAGGAACTTGCATGGCCTATTGCACTTATTATTTCCAGATTTGACCCAAAAGAGATTATATCAATATGTACATTTCTCAAACAAGTCACATGTGGGAAATACTTATGAACTGAAATCAATGCCAAAGCTTTTATTTACAGCTTATTCTTCTATATAATTACGAAAAAATGTGATCCTGTTTTCTAGCAACTTTTAAGGTTTCAACTAGGTTTTCTGGCTTTGCTAACTCTGAATCACGCAGAGCAAGAAACTAATGCTATGCCTCGTAGATGAGTGTGTGCACAAGCACCTTGAACTGCTAACTACAATAGGCATATCCACTGCCATTCTTCTCCCTTGCATCTTGTTTTAGATTTACCCTTTTCTGGGCACGAGTGCATCTCTTTAAGTACTTCAGATCTGATAAACAGTAAATTATTTTCTTTTACTGAAGATATTTCAGCTATATATACTTACTATCTTTCATTTCCCCCCTTCATGAATTCACTATTCTTCACTTATTCACCCACTCATTCTCTACTTTTCCATTTCCAGTCACATCCTCTCTTCCTACACATGCAAATGATAAAAATAAAGCAAAGTCGAAGTTTAAATGACACAAGCCCTGAAGAGATTCTTCTCTATATCTCTGCTTGGAAGCTCAGTAACTTCCACCATGCTATATGGGAAAACTATCTACAATTTCTCTTTTCTTCACATGCTGCTTTTCTTCAGCCTACAGGATCAGAACAGCTGTGGGCAGGACATTGTTGTCTACATCACCTACCCACACTTGCCTAAGAAGACAGAGTATTACAGAATCATAGAATCATTTTGGTTGGAAAAGACCTTTAAGATCATCGAGTCCAACCACCAGCCTAGCAGTGTCAGGTCCACCACTAAACCACGTCCCTGAGCACCACATCTGCACGTCTTTTAAATACCTCCAGGGATCGGGATTCCACGACTTCCTTGGGCAACCTGTTCCAATGCTTCACATCCGTTTCAGTGAAGAAATCTTCCCTAATCGGCAGTCTAAACTTTCCCTGCCAAGACCTGAAGCTGTTTCTTCCCACCCTCTTGTCTGTATGAAATGACAGATCCCCTTTGCACGCCAATAAACATGCAAATGCGGCTAGCATAGAGCAGAGTACACCCTGTCACATCACATGGAATATTTCAATTCCATTTTCTAAATACACAGTTAAGAGCTTTATCTGAAGTTCAGTAGCTCCTCTAGGAAGAATCAGTAGAGAAAAATTCATCTAAAAGGTAAGGAGAACCAATTCAGTTGTTAAGCCATAGGTTTATAAGTGATGCCAGGATGTTTAAGCCATCCACTTCCACAACGAAATACAGCAGTGTCATCCACATCATAACCAGCTACACCATTTCACTCCTGCCAGATGTTTGCCTAATCTGTTCTTAAGTCCTTCAATACAGGAAACACTGCAGTCTTACTAATCCACCTGTTCATATGCTCAACCATCTTTGTTAGATCTAGTTTTTCTTAATACTTAACCT